TGAGCAGGAACAGAGGGCTGAGCAGGAACAGAAGGCTGAGCGGGAACAGAAGGCTGGCTGGGAACCGAAGGCTGGCCAGGAACAGAAGACTGGCCAGGAACAGAAGGCTGAGCAGGAACAGAAGACTGAACAGGAACAGAAGACTGAGCAGGAACAGAAGACTGTCCAGGGGCAACAGGAACCGGCTGAGTGGGAACAACAGTGGGAACAGATGGAACAGTACTGTTGGCGAAAGGAGCGGTCTGGGGCGGTGGGCTGATAGTAGTGTTCTGGCCGGGGACACCTGTTGTCAATGGAGGCGGCGAAATAGTAGTCACGTTTTGAGTGGGAACAGAAGTCGGAACCAGAGACTGGGTGGACACAGACACAGTTCCACTTCCACTGGGCACGACCACTGGGCTTTCGTTGTTCAACTCAACGGTAGTGGTAGTCACGGTGATTGTCTGAGTCAGAGTGATAGGAACAGTCAAAGTCTTGGTGCCAGAAGTGACTGTCGAATGAGTAACTGCGATAAGAGTATTAATACACATGAGCTTGAAAAGGTCAGGTGGAACATCATACCTGGGCAGGTTGTGGTCAAGAAAGTTCTCGTCTTGGTAAACCGCTGAGGCTCAGAGTCAATGGGACTAGGATGACCGAAATCACTAGAATGACCCTATTACAGCAATGTCTTAGTGGTCTGCGACGCAGGAGGTAGGAGAGACTGGGATGGTCTACGCTTACCTCGTCAAATCCCTTGTTTGGCAGAATGCCTGCAAAGGCTGGCCCGGCCAGAGCCACAAGTGCAATGCCAGCGTTGACCATTTTGAGAATTAATTGCTTGATATTGACACAGAAGTTCCTGATAGCAATAAATGACAACTCCCGAAGGAAGCAAGGAAGAAAACGAATGAAAAGTCTGAGAGCGAGCGACTTTCTTTAACGAAAAGGCGAAAGAAAGAATTGAGAAGGAAAGGAGTCAGGATCGCAGGAGGAACTCAACTTTATATCTTGAGGGTGGAGTCGCTTCTGTTTTCATGAGATTACTGATAATGGTAGTGGTACCATGTCGTATCCACGATCAACGAGGATGACGACCAATATCTGGTCCCAGGTAACTTGAAAGTTGATTCGCCTTCAGCCTGAGTAGGCTGATAACACCCCATCGAACCATGGATAATTGAGGTACCGATGTAATGCTATGAAGAAAAACTCCTACGTGGGAGCGTGTCGTGTGTCAAGACCAGGAGATCGATGTGACATCTCGGAGTGCCATTCGGGTGAAAGTCCGAGGATACCCTTCTCGACCTCCCAAGAAATGGGGCAACAAGAGGAGGCACTGAAGTCTAGGGACCAGAAGTGATGGCGTCACCAACATCATCTAGTGAGACAAAGGTAACATGAACCAGCATTACCGAATGGAGTCCTCACGGATACTGAGATCTTGTCACGAAAAAGGCACCCCACGCAAAAACAGGAACAAGCCGCCCACACCTGAGCGCCGCCATGGAGCCTCAATCTGAGATGGTCGAACCACACTGCAGAAAGGCGACTGACGTAACACTGGAATGTGGAGCTTGAAATGGGTACGCCCATACAATGCTACCTGCAGAAGTTAAAGAAAAGCTTAGCAGCAACGAGAAGCAAAAGGTACAGGAGTCAATCCAGCAGCCTGAGCGAATCTCCATAGTTTGAAGTCCATGTAAGTGGAGGCTAGAGCACTGCTCAGTTCGTTACGAGAGAAGAGAGCCTCCATGCCCAAACGCTGGCTACTGCCTGCTGCCAGTGTTGTCAAACGCTTTGACAAAGCCTCTGATCGACGATGACGCATATCAGATCCATGTCGAAATCTCTGGTATGCTCACTGCTACCATTTTCAGCCAATAAATTCTTCTAAGCTCAATTACGATGGCAAAAGAACCCCAGGGAACATTTGAAGGCGAAGGTGATGGAGCCTTTCTCTGGATGTAACGAGGATCTCTCTTGATTGGATATCTTCGTGAGAATCAGGGCAGATGTAGGCATCATACCACCAGAGAGGGGCTAGACAGAGGAATAAATCTCTGACGACAAGTTGAAGGACCTTACAATGATTCCGCATGCGGAAGTTGAAAGGGGAACGAGATCGTTCCTGGCGAGGTTGTGGTTGCATGAGACTTCCAGGGAAAATGACCGTTTGCGGTTGTAGGTCTTTATCAGGTCAATCAATATCACGTGCATTATCACGTGATATATCGATAAGGATAAGGGCTAGGGCTGATAAGGGTCACTTCGGTGTCCCGTTCAATTAGAGGCACGCGTTCGGACGCGTCTCGCGTTGATGGATGTGGCATGAATGATGTTGTAGGACAGAGAGTCCCTAAGGTTATCCTACTGCTCATCATACATAATGCCTCACTCAATTTCCTCCACTGAATCGCCTGCTCACGATCATGATGATGAGATCCTCCCTGATGCCCCTGGGACGGATGCGCATTCTAGCACTAGAGAAGCGCCAACTGCGCGAGAAAACCAGGCAACAGGCGTGAGGCTAGAAGATATGTTCAGCGATGAGGACAACGACGAGGAATTTCCAGTTACGAATGCTCCTGAAGTGCAAAATGAGTCGACAGCACCCCCAACTGCTTCGGAGTAAGTGCAGTTTTGTTCTAGCATTTGAGCTGGGCACTAACATTTAATGTACATTCAGGCCCGCACCTCAATCGACACAAGTCGACACAGATATAATGCTCGCGTTCTATCAGCGTCTGTTTCCATTCCGCTACCTCTTTCAATGGCTGAACCATGGAATTATTCCCTCTCCTGATTTCGGGAACCGTGAATTCGCTCTTACGCTTCAAAATGACGCATATCTTCGTTATCAATCATACGCGACTGCAGATCTGTAAGTGAGGGAAGCTGTGCACCTATATTCATCGATTCCTGACAAATACTTCCCTTAGATTCCGTAAGGACATCTTGAAAATGAACCCTTCGCGATTTGAGATCGGCCCCGTGTATAACACAAACCCGCGGGACCGGAAAACGCTACGAGGCGGTCAGATGAAACCAATCTCCAAAGAGCTAGTGTTCGATATTGATTTGACGGATTATGACGACATTCGGTCTTGCTGCACCAAGGCAAATATCTGTCGGAAATGTTGGACTTTCGTGACTATGGCAATGAAAGTGGTGGATACTGCCTTGCGTGAAGACTTTGGCTTCGAGCACATCCTTTGGGTATACTCAGGTCGTCGTGGTGCTCACGCATGGGTGTGCGATCCGCGTGCTCGCAGTCTCCCCGATGACCGGCGAAGGGCTATTGCCGGCTATCTCGACGTTGTGAGAGGAGGGTCTCAAAGCGGGAAGCGCGTGAATATGAAGCGGCCATTACATCCACATATGTCCCGTAGTCTTGAAATTCTCAAACCGTTCTTCGCTCAAACTACACTTGTCGACCAGGATACGTTTGCAAGCTCAGAACAAGTGGAGCGCCTTCTCTCATTGCTACCGGACAAGACACTGAATGACGCGCTGCGCAAGAAATGGGACTCGTCGCCCGACCGGTCCAGTACGAACAAATGGGCAGACATCGACGCGCTTGCTAAGACTGGCAAGAGCAGCACTCTCAACCCAACCACTCTGAGAGACGCGAAACAGGATATCGTACTGGAATACACATACCCGCGTCTCGACGCCGAAGTCAGCAAGAAAATGATCCATTTGCTCAAGAGCCCTTTCGTCATCCATCCCGGTACGGGGCGTGTCTGTGTTCCTATCGACGCTAAAAAGGCGGACGAATTCGATCCCCTTTCCGTCCCAACAGTCACTCAATTACTGGCGGAGATTGATGCATGGGATGCCGAACACTCCGGCAGTAATGCAGGGGCTGAATCTGTCCAGGGCGAAACCAGCACGCCTAGCGACTCCCAAGGAAGTCGCAAATTGCAAGATTACGAGAAGACGAGCCTCAAGCCATATATTGACTACTTCCGTTCATTCATCGCTTCTCTGAACAAAGAGGAACGCGTGGGCAAACGAGGAAATGAAGATCCGGTTGAGGTAAAATCAGAAAGCATGGAATTTTAAGAGCATTTCCTCTAGGCATTTGTTCTCTTTCATGGTTGGGTTCTTGATATTGGGATTTCCGGAGTTCTGTTCTTAGCGGAAACATTGGTTTATGCTGGCGAACTAAAGGCGTTTATACGTGTTGGTTAGGCTGTATATAAGCCACGCAGTTGAATCAAGGATCCGATACGAAAACTCGCATTTTACGTGTCACTCTACGCTACCATGGCAAACTCGGCGATATGTTGGGACTACCTACTTGAATGAGTGGTTTAACGTGGTTTAACGTTTTCAATTAGATGTGAACTACGTACAACATATGATCCTGAACTCGTTTCTAATGATACACAAATGGGGGAATAGCGGATAAGTAGTTATGATTTCCCAATGGGTTTTGATACAATGTACGAGAAGACCTAGTAAGGACTTCAGAGCAGATTTTCGCCACGAGGACTTCGGTATTTAAGCGGCAACAAAGTTCTTGACGTCTGCGACCAACGGTGTTAGCTACACGAGTGAACACATAAACGGCAGTGATCAAACTTACTCTCGAGCCAGCGAACGTATTCCTTCTGCTCCTTGACCTGAATGTAGTCGGGAATCATGTTGGCGAGTTCGGCGTTGATGCCTCTCTCTTCGAGGTAGCGCTCGAGGAAGGTCTGCAGGTCCTCGTCGAGGTTCTCGAAAGGAGGACCAGCGTAGAGGCTCTGTCTGGCCCAGTCTTGCTCGGCAGTTTGGGCGTGGGCGAGGTCGGGCTTGGAGAAGTAAGACACCTCCTCGATCTGGAACAGACCATCCTGGGCAACGGTCTGGATCAGGAGAGAACCGTTGCCGGGCTTTTCGATAGTGACGTTGACACGAGCAGGGAAGCTGGGCTCCATATCACGGTCTAGATCCTCCATTTCCCGGTCAGCGGGAGCAATGCGATCCTCGGGGTGCTGAGCAACACCACCAGAGGCACCGCGACCCTGGTTAGCGGGCTGATGGCCTTGGAAGTCCATCTCATCGGTGAAAGCGCTGTCATCAAAATCCTCCTGTTCGCTCAAGTTCTGAAGGTCGGCGACGGTGAAGGTGAGTCGGATCCTGTCCGTAGATGGAAGTATTAGCGAAGGAGCCGGAAGGTCCTCTTTGAGAGATACTTACTCCTCCTTGCCGAACTTCTTGGTCAACACAACTTCCTGTTCACCAGGAACATCCTTAACCTGTGTACAATCCGTGAGTCCGTGTCGAAATTAATGATGGTTGTGGTTCGTATACTCACCTCCCAGGAGTTGTTCTGAAGAACATACTGGATGTTTTGGACCGAGGTCTCCAGATCCTCAAGGCCGGAGGCCTTCTCGTGCTTCATTTCATCCTCAAGCTTAGCAACAAGTTCGATGTCACCTGCGTTGAAGACATTGGACGTTAGCTTGACGTTTTGCTCAATGAAGCCATCCTTGCGAAGCCACCGGACCTCGCGCCCGATCAATAAATGAAGATGCGAAGAGAAAATTTAAGACTGTCTTTCCCTCCATAGATAATTTGGAAGAAAATCTTTATAGAGATCTTTACCTTCAGCAGGAGATTGTCTGAAAACACTAGAGGTAGAGAAAGCAGCGTAGGAGGGCTTTGTAGCCTGCTTCAAGGAAGCTTGCAGAAAGCTATTCTTGGGAACTGACAGGAAGGAGGACCGGGAGGTGGTAGCGATGGACCGCGAGAGTGTGCGAGGCACGGAACGTGCGAATGTACGAAGAGAAAGCATCTTAAAGATTGATGAAAATGTGATGCGCAAAAATGGC